TATGTTGAGTTATCTACGTCCAGTAAGTAAAAGAGGCTATAGAGTGGTGCAATATGTTAAATCGATTGAGTAGAGTTAGCCAATGAAAGGTTTAGCGGGTGCAGATGAGTCGTGGAGAAGTGTTTGTCTTTATGAAAGTTCCAAACATTCAGTGTTAGACAACAAGAATGAGATTCTTCGACTTTGTGTCTCTCAAAGGTTTTTTTCTTAAGGTTTGACATGGGTAACGTCTTTTAGGAAATCATATATTGATTTTGTGAGATACTGAGTTGCATGTCATGTTGTGGGGACTTTTCCCAGAGAATCAGACTTGATAAGAGTATATGTTTATTGAGGCTTCTAATTTTTTTTCCTAAGGATAAAGTCGTCATTCGATCATATATTTGAAGACGAAATTTATTTCAAAGATGGGAGAGTTGTAAACACCCTGAATATGTTAGTAGTTTCGGGTTTACCCGAGAAGCATGTGGACCTCATGAAGTTCGTAATTGAAGTCGTTAGGCCAAGTTTGGGTTTAATTGAGATGTAATTGATTCCAAGAGGTTATAAAAAAGGGATTTTTGAATACAAGGTAAAATACAAATGACCAAAAGCATAATTATCCCATTTTTAAAAGATAAGGATTTATATATTCCTTCATCATTATCTTCATTTTTCTTCATCTTATTTCCTTTTCCTTTTTCTCCATGTGTCATGGCTAAAGATGAGTCCTTTGAGCTTTATATTAGTGTTTTAGCCCTCCAACAACATTCTTTATGTTTAGAATCTAATTACTTTGAGAAAAGGGTGAAAACATCTTAGTTTTAGAAGAATGAGAGGAAGTAAAGCTTGTTGAAAATGAGTTCCATTTCGGGCTTGTTGAAATGAGTTCCATTTCGGGTTTCTAATATAAAGATAGTGTATTTCTAATCCTTTTTGTGTTGTGATTTTCCTAAACGTAATTTTTTGTTTGGATTTGGGTATTTGAGCATATTTGGGGTTTTCGCTTAATTCATGCTTAGACGATGTTTTTGGTGTAAAAATGGTGTTTGGACCAAACAAAAGTGTTGCGAGGGATTCTTGAGTGTTTTTTGAGCCACTTTCTGGGTTTCTAGGTTAGTGTCGATACTAGAATTGTAATGATTTATGGACATGTTATGCATGGAGTATCGATACTCTATGGAGTAGGACAAATATTGCAGCTCTAGTATCGATATCGAGGGTAACAATATCAATATTGAGAGGAATTTTGACAAAACATAAGTTGTTTTTGGTATGATACTCAAAGAAGTATGATACATGACCTAGGGTTATCGATACTAAATGTAGGGTATCGATAATACTCATTTAGATTGTTAAATTGACTTCGTTAAGGTTTGTAAGAGTTTAATGGCTCGTAATGGTGAGGACTTAGTCCGTGAAGGACATAAACAGCTTAAGGTGCCTAGAAACACTCTTAGAAGGGGTTATGAAGTAACCATATTAAGCTTGATACTTCTAAGTATCTTCAATCGAACACGTATTGAGTAATCGTGAGCAAATAATCATTGTGTAAGGCATGTCGATGAATGAGACGATGAACGACGCGGTTAGCAAGATAGAGAGAATTAATACCACCTGAACACCTATAATCAAAGATGAGCAAGTTATTCTACAGGTTCAAGGGTGGACGATGAGAAGTTGTGGTGAGAGTGACTAGGAATTGTAGTCAATGGATAAACCCCAAAATTAAGTGCCAGACTACTAATAAATGTCAAGTGGCTAGCGATGAATATTAATGCTTTAAGGGCATAAAACATTACAAGATTAATAAGCGCTTGCATAACGTTTTAGACTAGATGTTAGCTATATAAAAGAGCTTGATAATAAAGACGAGATAATAATGTAATAATAGTTTTATCTGTGTGATAATCATAAGAACCTTACGAGGTAAAATCCTATAAAACTAGACTTCGTGTGACGCTCAGGAAATAATAAGTAAATCGAGTACTTTAGTAGTATGATTATCGTCTTGTATGTATGAAATATCTAGATATATCCAAGTCAGTGCGAGGTCACTTCAGACGCTAGTCGAACATTGTGCTGATGTTATGTGATCTAGACACGTTTTAAGTATCTAGAGGAGTGGACTAGACTGGCAAAGTGTCGATGCTATGTGACCCGGACCTAGCCTAGGTATTGGTGAGATGATGATGTTATGTGGCGCAGATCTCACCCAAGGTACCTTTAGTAAGTAAATAGGGGTGTGAGTTTCGTGATGATATGTGACCCCAAGCTACATCATGAGGCTTTATTATTGTTTGACTAGTACCTGGCGACTGTGTGACGTCAAGTACTAGCCTTGTGTTATTTGTTGCATTTAGAGAATGCACAGTGGTTAGAGACCCAATAGAGGTGTACTCATGGCATAGGCTTTAGTAGAGGATTAAGGTAAGCATGAGGCCCTTACCTTAGTGATAAAATAGTTGAACCTTAAGTAGGTAACACTTGATTATGATCATGCATGTACCTACTGATTATTACCATGTCTTCTAACATGCTTATGTTCATGAGATTCATATGTTGCTCTAGATTAGTGATTATGGGCTTGTAAGCTCAACTTTCGGATGTTTTCATTCGCATGTTAGTATGTTAAGATGTTCGATGAGCATTGTCGCAACAAGTCTTCCAGTATTTCCTTACAGAGTATTGTATAGTTACTTGTAGTGGGCATGTGTATTCATAAGACATTATGGTATTTAGTTTTGTAACTCCAAGATTATATTATTTTGATTTAAATTATGTGTCACGGAGCTCCATTTTATAGAAGTGTTTTATAGTTGTCATGTATTTTTATTTTGATATCATGTAGTATGTTTTGAAAATCAAGGGTTGCCTCAGCAGCTCAATGTGGCACATTAGGCCCATTCGGGTTTAGGGTGTTACAACCTCTCTGTTACACTTATTCTTGGTCTCCCTCATCATTGTCATTATCTCTCGGCATGGGCTCGAACGACTAAATGTTAGTTGGCTTGTTTCCCACAAGCTCGGTTAGCTACTCAGCTAAAATTATGGTTTCTTAGTCTTTGGGCATCTTCATGCTCCACTGTGAGCTTTACCCCTAGTCTAAGTCCCTCTAAGAAGGTCTTGAGCACTACTCATTCACTCATTGCACCCTTGCATATGAGCAGCTCCTTGAGATCATCCACCTTATTCCTCAAAGCCTTCATCTCGGCTTCACAAGCATTACTCTCTTAAAATGTCTCTAACTTGTTGAGAACACATAGCATCTCATACTTCAACTTGTCTTTCATGGACTCCACTTTGTCAAGATTGGACTCCATAACACCTTGGCCTCCTCCACAGATTCTTCAAGTTTATCGACCCTCCACCCCATCATTTTTAACATCTCACTCAGATCATCTATCCAATTTTTGTAGTCATTAACTCGGTCGTACAAATCCTTGATGTATTCTTCAACTAGCTCTATCCACTTTTACTTCCCACTATGACACTCTTTGTCTCTTAACATTGGAACACCATCTCTTCGTTTTTACATCTATATTCACTCTTTTGTCACGAACTAGCTCAATCACCCCGACTAGTTGGAACGCAAATCCTCGCCAACTTGACTACAACAACAAATTGGCTCAAATGTAAGCAGCCTTACTCAGTTTACCACTTATCAGAAAACATGTCCAGAACGCTCGTTGTACCACCACAATGACTCGCTCTAATACTACTTGCTATGTCCCTACAGAGTTTTGGTCCGAAAGGACGTGCGGTCTTAGAAACTCTTTGACACTTCTTGGCCAGTTATGCGCCTAAGTAAGCTTTAAACTACACCTTGTGAGAATACAAACTCAACAAAGGTTGGAACCAAGCCCTCAAGGCTTCAATGGATTTGAAGCTTTAACACTAACGGGCCTAGGAAACCCGCCAAAGTTGGTCAATGGTGTGGAAGTTTAAACATTATTGTGGCACAAAGAGAACCAGAACAAAAGAAAGGGATAGAGAATATAGAGTAAATGCCTTGAGCTTTATTACTCTCTCGAATCAAAATGAATGAAATGAGATGATGAGATACAAATGAAGTGGAAGAGCTCTCTATTTATAGTTGAGCTCCTACTCAATCAATAACATAGATTGATTTACATTAACGGTTAAGATCAGTCCAATTAATACAAAATCCCCTATTCTAAGGAAAGTCAATTCCAATCCTATCTAATCACATCAATTATAAGAAATCTTTTTTCGAATAGGTATTCACACCGAAAATAGTAAGAATCCCCCACAATATTCTATGATTTCTTGTCTCTTGTTACATCTACATCGTCATTGTGGACATTATATGATATGATGTCACTTTCCTTATTTGCAAGGTCAGCGTGAATGGCCTCTCTAACATTCTCCAAGTGATGGGTCAAGTCTGGTGATCTTGACAAGCCTGATACTCCGCATAAAACCTCTTTAGTGAACAGTTGCGCCAATGTCTTTGACCCAAATGTAAGAGTCGTGACAAAAGCAATGACCTATAGTCATGACTATTTTGTAACTTTTAACAGCAAAATGATTCAACAAAACAATACCTCATAGTCAAGGATCATTTGTATACCTTACCCAAAAATTATTTATAAATTTATATACCCAAAATAAAGTACATGCTCGAAATAAAATATTAAGATATTTAAATTTAATTTGTTGGATAGCTTGAGTTATTTGAGTTCGGGTCGTGAATAATAGATCCAAATTTAACCTTTTTTTTAGAATCGAACTTAAATAGCTTACAATACATTCTATAGAACTTAACGGCAAACCATATCAGAAGTCCCGAGTTGCTAATACTGCAACTCAAGCGAATGACAGTACTTTTACAATATCACCTGATTTATCTGTACTTGTTCCAACCGATCAGTTAGCTTGCATATACAAAGTACCCAGGGTCATCAAAATATTGTAGACTATAGATTTACAAGTAGAATATATATCTTGGTACATTATTAAAAATATATATTTGCAAATGGCTAAAACTACTTTTCATCATACACGTGATATTCAATTAGTTAAAATCTTACAATAAATTACAATGTAAGTTTGAACAGAACAAAAATTTTACAGAAGGTGCCGTTTTTCCTCTAAGAAGCTACAATTTTATTTTTCTTTTCCTTATCTTGTATCTTTCTATTCAACTATGGCACCAAAATTTATGTTCTACAATATAAATGGGCCAATGAATGAATGTCACTTTTACAAATAACAAATACTGTTACCACATTACCGCAACAGCTTCAGTGGAAAATTGCTAGAAGCTCATGGCTCTTGATGAAACCTCCGATTCTCCTTCCACCTGCTGTCCTTGGACCATTGGAAGGTTTTCCTGAAACCAAGTACAAGCAGTCATGTTTACCAAGTAATGCTGTAATAATGTGTAAACTGATCCTCATATGACTTGATGCCGAAGAAAATAGGCAAATAATGTCAGACTTCCTCTATCAAATTATGTCATGGCACCTAGTTTCCTTATTTCCTTATTCATAAGACTCCGCAAGGTACCAAAGTACCAAGCTCCTTACCGGTTCACTAAAAGGCATCAATGAAGTTAAATCTTATTATACTGTAAATGAATAGGGGGTGTGGGCACCCCAGAGGACTGATATTGAACGAATGAGGTAGATGCTATACACGCTAAAACTTACAATAGAATCCTTCAACTTGGCTTTTGCAAAATAATGCTCCAAAGCACCATCTCCACGGAGAATCTTCCCTCCACATCCAGGGGTATCTTTTGAACCCACTGATTCCTCGTCGATCACAACAGCATCTACTCTATTGTGTCCAGTCCTTGCATCTGGAACCTGAAACATACAAGAATCAAATGCTTCACTACATGAAACATCTAATTTCATAAGGATATATATGTGCCTCATGTTGCTTGAACTCTATTTCTCCTTAAAGTATACGCGTCAGACACATGGATATGAGTAGGGCTGAGCAAAACTCAACTCGAAAAATCGACTTTTTTGAACTCGACTCGAGAAAACTCAACACGAATTGACTTCAAGTTTTAATTTCATAAACTCGACTCGAAAAAATTTCAAGTTCAAACCGAGTTGTAAAATACAACTCGAATAACTCAAAATTTTTAATAATTAGTGGATTGATTTTTATGTTTGAGTCGAGTCCCTCGAATTTGTATGATATATGTATATCACATATGAAAAAATTATGAAGAAATATACACATATATAATATATGGTAATAAAAAACCATTTAAATTGGAATTAAATAATATCATAATATTATAAATATTTACAATTAAATTTAAACAGAAACTCGAAAACTCGACTCGAATTTTATAAACTCAAATTGACTCGAAAAAATTTCAAGTCAACTTCAAGTTATAAAATAGGACTAGTCAACTCGAATAACTCAAATTTTTTTTAACTCAACTCGATTCAATCGAACGCTCACCCCTAGATATGAGATGATTTTCAAGGATTCTCCAAATACATGGGAACATAGAAAAGTCTAATCATGCCCATCTTTGATAGATACCCGTATGACATTCACACCAGATTTCAAGTAACATAGTCTATAGCTAACACATGCTTGTTTGAATATCATTCAAAACATAGGGGGACAAATTACCTCATACATCGCTTCAGTGAGAATGCTTTCCAGTATAGCTCTTAAACCCCTGGCACCTGTATTCTTAGCGATTGCCTTCTTAGCAATTAATCTCAACGCTTTAGGTGTAAAATGTAGCTTCACCTGAAATTAGAGAAATGATGTCACTTGAAAAAAATGAAGAATCCAAGCAACATAGTCAAATAAAGAGGGTAAGAGAATAGAGAATTTGAACAGGCAGAGTCAACTTACATTGTTCATGCTAAATAACTTCTTGTACTGCTTTCCAATAGCATTTTTTGGTTCTGTAAGCACCTGCATCAATTTTTTTTCTCAACAATTAGTAATAGCAAAGTAGTAACTCATTAAGGAGTTGCCTAATGCAGATCTCACTAAATTCGATCATTCTAACTTGAGGTCAATTTACGAAATTGATATGTTACCTGCACAAGTTGCTCCTCAGTTAAAGCTGACAAAGTAACTAGTATTGGAAAGCGTCCTACGAACTCTGGTATGAGGCCATATGCAATAAGATCGGAACTCTCAACCTGAAATGCAAATGCGGCTTAAAGATCTCAGTGGAACTTTATGTAATTGCTGCTCTTTGATATACATGTTATTGTTGTTGTCTTATCATTATAAAGAAAGTAGGAAACAGTGTTTATTCTTACTGATTCAAGCAAAGACGATGTCACTGCAGCATTGGTTACCCATGACGTCCTCATATTAGCACGGACAGGTGCTCCGAAACCTATTGAAGAATCTTGCTGTCTGGTTTATAACAACAATAATTAAACGCCCAAAAACAAGAACGAATGACATGGAAGATAAATTCTTTTTGGTAAAGTAGTCACAAGAGTTTACCTCTCTGAAATTGCTTGTCAAGATCAACAAACGCTCCACTACAAATGAAAAGGATGTCTTTTGTATCTATCTGTGCATATTATTTACACCCATTTAAGCGTAGTTGCAAAAGTTAACTCTTCTAAAAAATGGATGAAAATGATGTCTTCTGTATCTATCTGCATAATATTTACATCCCTAGTTGTGAATGACATGATAAATCAAAAGAATACCTGTATATTGTCACTTCGAGGATTCTTCCTTGCTCCCTTCTCTGGAACATTTATAATCTGCACAAAGAAACATTTATCAACTGTAACGCAGCCACAAAGGATGCTGGTCAAAACCTCAAAATAGGTCTAATGTAAAATCAGATAGGAAAACTGAGGCAAAGCTACAATATTCGACACTTTTGCAGATTATATCAAATTACTTATCCTGATTGTGACTTCCAAATAAAAACATTTCATTCATAAATTCTTCCACAGACTAATACATTTGCTGCATTACAGCTTCTTAAGTCGAACAAAATTTCTATTTAAAATGCATACATATCCATTGTCTTGCAAACAAAGATCTTGAATGAAAAAGGAAATGAACAGGAAAAAAGAAAATGAAATTTTATGTTATTTTCCCATTTCTTTTCAGTTATAGGAGAAAAAGTACAATATGATTACCAAGAAGATTACAAGGTCATACGTTCTGGACTTAAGCTTATGAATATAGTCTATAGGGTTTTCAAAATCTAAAAGATTTGATAAGGTACAATTCCTGATAGCCTACAGCAGTCTAATAAAGTTTTATAGCAATAGTTAAAATTTTGGCTTCATCTCAAACCATCTATTCTCCAGATTAAACCTCTTCCAAACATTTACTTCCGAAATTAATCCTGCCCCAGTGCCATGAAAGCAAACAATTATTCTCAGCTGATAGTCTTGCTCAAATTATCGTTTTTCTGTTAATTTTTTAGGGAAAGAATTATTTCTCTCTCTACATATTGCTCAGACATTACAAGTATAACCAGTTGTTCACTGAAAACCTAGATGATTACTAGATTATCTTCCAATGAATAGGAGGAGAAGCTTAGGAACAAGGCAACCATTTAAGTTCTTCTGCTGGACAGTAAGTTTGCAGGAAGTGACCAAGGCAACCAGCATAAATTTCTCAAATTAGATAATAAGAAACAAGATGGCAGCTGCAGGCCTGCAGCACATTATAATATATGCTAATAAAAACAATATACACCAATCTACAACCAATATATACTAATAAAAATAATATATCAATCTACAACCAAAGAACTTATTTTCAGAACAAGAAAAACAACAGCAACAACAATAACTCACAGTTCCCTCTAACATTTCAGCAAGGCTTGCTGAACACCCTCCCCCGATACATCTCTGCTGACGTTTAAGCGCTCAGCCTGCAAAAGTAATTCAACATTTCAGAAAATTTTAGGTCCAAAAGAAATCCTAGATTAAAACATAAAACCAACAATTTGAGTTTACTTTAAAAAATAAAGGATAATTGCAGAACCTTTTTAGTTATCTTGTCAATTTCATCAATGTAAACTATTCCTTGTTGAGCTGCTTCTACATTGAACTCAGCAACCTATAAGAACATCACAAAGCAAATATATGTGACTGCAGATGTGTGAATACATAACCTAGATCACACTCTTGCCCCCACTCTATCTTCAAGCTTGAGTGTGTACTCTTTTCTGAGTTAAGGATATACCATAACTTGGAAAATAACTATCCATCTTACAATGTAAAATTAAAGTCGGAAAAACACATTGAGAGAAAAGAGAAGTAGTCCGTCTCACTAAGGCAAACAGATGTAATTATATCTCAGTACTGCAATCAAGCCTAACAAAATACATTTGTATTCTAGAAAATTTATTCAAAATGCTATAATCTTCTCCACTGCCATTGGGTAATATATCCAAAAATGATTTATTTTTTCAAGCCCTGATTCTCTCTGTAATCTGTCTTAATTGTACCATCTTTTCTCTACATATAGCTTCACATGGTGTGATTTCTGGTTAAAATCTTTGCTGGTTCCCGGAGCCAAGGATCATTCAAATGTTGTGTACATTTAGAAGAGGTACAATCAAATTCACAAGATACAAACTTCTTTGCTTAGTTTCTCTCTTGCAGCATTCTTCTTATACAATCTTGAAGGAATGCTATCAATGGTTTTGGTTCACATTCACTATTCTTTAGTTCCAGCATGTTTGATTTTACTCAAAAGGCACTGAGCAATTAGATAAGTTGTGAGGCATAATAACTAGGGGAAAGGTATAAAAGAGAAGAAACTTCAGTGTGTTTTGGTTGTAAATGGGGGTATCAAAGTCTCATTGGTTGGAGCAGATGCCTGGAACTGGAAATTTGTCTTCCCACTCCCTCATCATACTACTTACTAAAGATATTTTGAGTCCCACTAAATGAGGACAATGGGAATATACCAATAAGTTCTATGATGCAAAGAATAAAGTTAATACCGTGAGTAGTTTGTACAATATTGATTCAACATCTTCACCAACATAACCAGCCTGCAAAATGAAGAATTTGCCTCATTAAATAGGACAGCCAAAGTTAAGAATGTTTAGCTAAGAAAAGAGACTTATGATTAATCATAAAGACAAAAAATAAGTTGTAAAAATAACTTCTAGGACGTCAAAGGTATTTAGCAAAAGGCCAACTATTTTCCACAGTAAGGTTTTGTTATGACTAGGAAGATACTTCAACGAGCTCAATATGATTGTTGAACGTGGCAACCATGATAACTCTATACATGATAATTAAGAGATATATTCAAGCCTTGGGGGAGTAGAGTGGTGAATAAAGGATCAGAAAGAACCAGCTTCCCTTGCATAGCCAAGGCTAATGGGTTTCAAAAGTTCCAAAATATTTATTTTACACAATTTTCAAAGATTAAAGTGCACAATGGACTTGCCTGCGTCAAAGATGTTGCATCAGCAATGACAAAAGGGACATTGACGAAGCGAGCCAGAGTTTTTGCCAATAAAGTCTTTCCTGTTGTAGGATATGTACATGTATAAGAAAGGTAATGCAATTAAGGAATTTCATGCATCCGCATAGGAATAAGAATAGGGAAGACTGTATACCGGAGCCAGTTGGTCCGACCAATAGCACATTGCTTTTCTCTAACTCCACATTTTCATTGTTATCAAGTGCTTCTAAACTTGCGTCTTCTACTCCTGACCTAGCATTCAAATCCGTGACCCAAGTTTTCTAATGACTATGTTGCATATCAGTTTACCGTATGGAATACAATTAAGCTAATATAATAAAAATCAGATTCAAAATTTTATAAGAACATTGAAACTAACCCTTTCTCCAAGGAGGCATGGTATATTCTTTTATAATGGTTATAAACGGCAACTGACAGTACCTGCGATAATCGATTTATAGTAATATACGAAGGATTTGGATTTTATTTATTTAGTTAGTCATAAATTCAAAAATTACGCACCTTCTTTGCCTTGTGCTGGCCAATAACGAATTTGTCAAGGCCTTTGCAAATTTCTTTCGGCGTCGGCAAATCCTTCCCCAAATTGGCCCCGCCCAACCAAGCGCCATTCCCATTAACGTGGCTTTCCTTGGGCCCATCAATTCTTAGGAAATTAACTCCGGGAGGAAAGGGCGGCCCAGGCGGAGTTTGAACTGCGAGGCCATTCCCAGGAGGCGGAGGCGGTGGCGTTGGCGGAGAATTCCCGGATCTATGATTGTCCCAAAACGATGTCCGAACGCTATTGCGAGGAGGAGGAGGAGGAGGAGAAGCGGTTTTGGAATTGGATTTAATCTCCAAGAAGGTGCCCTGGAGAGGGTATACACGGTGGGGGCGAAAGTGGTAGGCGGTTCTACAAGTGGGGCAGAAATTAACGGTGGATTTGCCGTTGCTGGAATTACCGTCAGACGAATCTAACGAAGCAGGAGGAAGACTGAAATTGAAGTAATTGTGATTGGAGCAGCGCGGGCAATTAATCTCGGCTTTAATCTTAAGAGTGAGAGCAGAAGTGGCAGTGCTGCCTTTGGATTTGTTTTTTCCTTTGCTTCTATTCCTGTTAGTAGTAGTAGTATCGTTTTTGGTATTGTCATCGGAATTGTCCCCGCCTCCGCCATCTCCTCCGCCAGCAGAGGAGAAACGTTGCTGAATCCCTCCTCCTCCTAAACCAAAGGCAATCCTCCTCCAATGGGCCAAGCAATTCAAATGCTCCATCGCCACCAGCTTCCTCCATCTCCTCGATACTCCTCCAGACATATTTGCTTGGTTTCTTGGGATTGGGATCTGGATTTGGATAATAATATTACTACTTATTTCTAACCTATAGAAATGGCACTTTTTTCTTTTTTTCAAAGGAAAGTATATCCACTTTACATACATACAAAGAAAATGTTCTATTTATTTATTAACAAAAAAAAAGCAGAGGGGGAGGGAGAGAGAGAGAGAGAGAGAGAGAGGAAAGGGTTGCGCATTGCTCGGGGATGAGTTTGTGAGGACGAGTGTTTAGAGGAGGCTTCGCGGTTGGTAAACGTTTTCTTGTCTTCCTACGTTTCGATGGTCACTTTTTATTTATAAATATTTATTTTTTTATCGAGTTTGATTTTATATAAAATATTAATTTAATTCTTAAATATTAAAACATTATGAACTTAGTCTCTTAATTTAAATAGAGTCTTTTGTCGAGTCAGTTGTTGATCATAAACTATGGTTAGATCTTAACTTTTTTAGTTCGCTCATATATATTAGAGAAAATAACATCAGTGACAAAAAATGCCTTATAATATACGATTTTAACCAACTTTTTTTGGATTTGCCAAAATGACCAACTAAATCGCAATGCGATCGATAATTCGCAACGCGATCTCCGGTATCGTAAATCAGTTTCCAGATTCGCAACACGAACATCGACTATCGCAACGCGAACTTCGACTATCGCAATGCGATTTTCCAAATTCGTTGCGATAGTCCAAGTTCGCGTTACGATAGTCCAAGTTCGTTGCGATAGTCGAAGTTCGCGTTGCGATTTATTCCAAATTCGTTGCGATAGCCCAAGTTCGCGTTGCGATAGTCGAAGTTCGCGTTGCGATTTATTCCAAGTTCGTTGCGATAGTCCAAGTTCGCGTTGCGATTTATTCCAAGTTCGTTGCGATAGTCGAAGTTCGCGTTGCGATTTATTCCAAGCTCGTTGCGATAGTCGAAGTTCGCGTTGCGATTTATTCCAAATTCGTTGCGATAGTCCAAAATCGCAACGACTGATGGTATTGCATTTGTTTCTTAAGAATTTTCTCTAAAAAGATAGTATTCGAGCGGACGTGTCGAAGACACGTATTACCACGACCACGACCACGACCCGAGACGAGACGAGACGGACAGCGGTGGCGACGACGCGCGAGAGTCTCCCTTGTTCTCTATCACTCAACAAGGAAGTGGGAAAGCCAAGCCTTAAATATCATTCCCAATAGTGTTTCCAATACTATGTGGGATTGAGCATTACCAACACTTGTTCCCAATACTATGTGGGATTGAGCCTTAAATAGTGATATTATTTGTGAATTATAGTTAATGACTGTAGTATTTGTATGAAAAGTATTTGTGGTTCATTTAATTTTCATGCAATTCTAATTTATTTTCAATTGATTGTAATTACACGATAACAATTTTTTTTATTCTCGCGAGTGATGCAATTTTTTTTAATGTTTTGCTTAAAATTGCAATAATCGCGATTGATTGTAAATTGACTTTTAATTATGACATATTTAATCGTATAATACTAATGCAATTGGTTGCTGATTCAGTTGTTTTAAGGTGCATGATTGTTAATTGTTTCCTGAATAATCACATAGTATTGGAAACAAGTGTTGGTAATGCTCAATCCCACATAGTATTGGAAATACTATTGGGAATGATATTTAAGGCTTGACTTTCCCACTTCCTTGTTGAGTGATAGAGAACAAGGGGGACTCTCGCGCGCCACCACTGTCGTCGTTCGTCTCGTCTCGTCTCGTCTCGGGTCGTGGTCGTGGTCATATGTGTCTTCGACACGTCCGCGCGAATACTATCTTTTTAGAGAACTTCGACTATCGCAACGAATTTGTAATAAATCGCAACGCGAACTTGGACTATCGCAACGCAAATTTGGAAAATCGCAACGCGAACTTCAACTATCGCAACGCAAACTTGGACTATCGCAATGCGAATATGTAAATCGCAATGCGATAGTCGAAGTTCACGTTGCGAATTTGGAAACTGATTTGCGATACCGGAGATCGCGTTGTGAATTATCGATCACATGCGATTTAGTTGGTCATTTGGCAAATCCAAAAAGTTGGTTAAAATCATATATTATAAGGCATTTTTGGTCACTGAGGTTATTTTCTCATAGTTTTTAAAATATTTTAGAAAATATATATAATATATAGTTTTAAAAGCATTTTTGAAAAATATTTATTACATAGTTTTTAAAACATTTTTGAAAATTATATAATATATAGTTTTTAAAACATTTTAGAAAATATATATAATATATAGTTTTTAAAATCATTTTGAAAACTTATATAATATATAGTTTTTGAAAACATTTTTTAAAATTATATAATATATATATTTAAAAATATTTTTGAAAAAATATATATTATATAGTTTTGTGGAAATAGTTTTTTATATATAATATATTATTATTATTATTTTTATGATTTGTTTTTTCCTTTTTTCTATTTTATTATTATTAACGTTTTTATTTTGTTTTGTTTGCAGGTCCGATAAGGGTCCAATAAAATGGTCTAGTAGGTGTCCAACTTGGTTTGGGCCTGACCCAGCCTGGTATAGTTTAGGGTTTTCAAAACCCTAGTCATTCAAGTCGGTGCCGCATAGAGGGGGTCAAAGGGTGTGTGTGCTATTCGCGTCTTGTGAGTACTATAAAATATACGCAAATAATGTGCAAGTATACACAATCGCTCAAGTAATATAATGATGAGTGAGTATCGTCTCCACAGGGATTAGGTGAAATTACGAAAGTCTAACCAAAGCAACGCAATAAATTATCTAAGTATAGTTAGTCTTGATATATACAAATGTCACGGTAATGGAAATGTGTATGCTGGTGAATGTGGATTGATGGTGTGATGGTGTAGCAAATGGAAATGCAGTGGCAATGATGGATGTTTAATGTTGAGTATAGTGAAATGTCGAGGCAATAAGAATTGGTAAAGACAGTAAATAAAAAGATAAATAAAATAAGAAGAAAATAATCCTCACGTGACAAGCTTCCAATGAGATGAATGGTAAGGATTGGTCTAAGGTTGCTAAACTTATTTCTCAAGTATATTTAAGCTATATTGTCTTTACTTACTCGACAGGGCTTTCCTAAGGTGTTCAAAAGAACCTAACAGAATAGGATGCCAAGGCATTTGCTCTCACTCAACGATGTTGGACAGCCTACCCTATTGATAAAGACACCTTTTTTAGTCGTTGAAATCCTATCCTAGTCTCTTCCGATATCTAAGGGATTAAGTTATAATATGCCTAGGCCGGTTCAAAGCCCCTTGAAAATACCATAACCCATTGCTTATGAGGATCTTATCTTGCGTTTCTTCCGAATACTTACAAGTATTTTTAGTTTAGGATTCTTCCGAATACCTAACCTTCATCTAAGAGATGGACATTTCCATGCCTCTTACAAGCCTAGATGGTGAAGCATTCATAAGCAAAGCAAATAAAGAACCAAAATAAACTTAAATATACTATTGAAAATAAAGTTCAAACAACCATTCAACCAACCACCACCAAATAAGTTAGTTCATGGTGGGGTTCAAAATATCCAAACACAAAGTCATGAAAATATTCGTTCCAACAACCCACAAAATAATATAAAAATAGAAACAAAAAGGGAAGTGAGAAGAAGCCTTTGACGCGCCACTGGAGGTCTCTTCTCGGCCACCACGAACCACCTAGCTCGCTAGCTCCTTTCGGCGCCTAGCCTACCACTCCTTGGAGCTTTATCAATGGAGGAATATCCCAAGGAAGAAGAAATAAAAATGTGATTTTTTTCTGCTCTATGCGTGTGTTGCTCTCTGTCCCCTTTTTTCTCTCTCTCCAATGAGGTGTCATATATAATAAAAAATATCTAGGGGTAATGATGAGTTTGTTGGGTGCAAAATACCCCTCATACCCCTAGAATCACATGTTGTGCATGATCCTTATCCTTCAAGTGGCGGTGGTCCATTGGCAGCTCTGGCAGGCGGTTACAGCAGTCCTTCACGTGCAGAGACAGTTGTCCAGTGCCAGCTGTCCTTATGCAGAAATATCTTTTTGTCTTTTTCTGCGCCAGAAATGCCAAGGTATTTCAATCTGCTTTAGCAACGTGTGATGCCGCGGCATTACTTCCCAAAGAATCCTTTTTCTTGCTATTCCCTGCACACCATAGACAAACTGCACCTTTCCCTCAAACAGCATCATTAAGAAATAAAATAGCACAACCACCACAAATGCAACTATATGCAACTACATGATCTTAAAATGACTAAAATGAGCTTTTAAACAAACAATAACTTAAGTGAAAAATGCTTTAAAAGTAGCCTTTTTAGGAAGTTAACACACCCCCAAACTTAAGTTATTGCTTGTCCTCAAGCAATGGATAGTAGTTACATAAGCATAATGTCATGGCAAAGTTCGATAGTAAGACAGTAGGACAAAATTGAATTTCAACCCTCAGAACGATAGGCTTCAACATGCTAGACTTATCAAGAATTCAAGTACTTTTCCCTAGGTCAAAATCCTTTGTGGTAGTGTGTGTGCGTGATTGTATCCAATCTATACTTAGCGAATTTAGACAATTTCTAATCAAGTCCCCTAGTTTTTGTCAAGGCATTTACTTATCATTAAGCACATTTTTACTCCTTTTTTTTTGATTTTTTTTAAACTGTTACGAAGGGAGTCAGCTCATCACACCTACTCTCCCACACTCTAGATGAAAGGGAGCATACCTTCCATCCCCGAGCTAGTTAAGTAGAGTCATCCCGTGACTTCTTTCATTCACTCATATTCACAAGGCTTCCATTTATTAAAGAAAGTTCCAGGAAATGCCACGGCAAAGAGGAGTGTCCCTCTACAGCTATGCTTAAGCATTTATTCACAGTTTCATTTCTAAGGGAGTTTGTTTTTGATTTTTCTTTTAAACACCACTAAAGTTCCTTCATAAAAATTTCCTAAATTTTCTAAGTATAGAAAACATACAAATCGTGTAAATATTTTTCACAAAGTATCAAGCCCTAGAGTGAGTTCTATCATTCTCAACAGTCATTTACATTCAGATTCTAGCCTAACAAAATTATCATCATCGAGTATCCTCAAAACATTTCATCTAACTGTCCTACCATTTACTGATGCCATGACATAATACTATGCTAATGCTATCATACATATGACCTACCAAGAACAATACCTCCCCCAAACTT